TTGGGTATTACTTTAGAGGCCGTAGTACTCTAGAGACCATCACCCTAGAAATACAGACTTGGGTTTCAGGTTTTCTGGCCTCACTTTCCTATCACACTTCCAAAACTTCCATGGCAGGGCCTGCCAACTCACCATTTATCTCTCTCTTTTCACTTTATCCACACTCATCTTCCTTAAGGACAGGCCTGACCTTACTCTGAAGGCCAAAGGTTCAGTGAATTTCTGGTTAAAATTTCTGGCAGAAAATAGCTCTTCACAAGCCCACTGCTAGTGTTTCCAAAGCTATAAGTCAGAGAGGACCCATGCCCCTCTCGCACACACGCATACGCAGGTTCCCATAATGTTCCTAACACCTTTGAGGCTAAAGTGGCTTTGGTCTAGGGTGGCAATCCTTACGTTGCCAAAAGTAGGGATTTTTCTTTTCTTTTTAAGTTTTCTCATGTTTTATTTAAAGAAGGAATTCTACATATGCCACGGAGTCCTTGGGGTGCCTGGGTGTTGCAGTCATTTAAGTGTCCGACTCTTGGTTTCGGCTCAGGTCGTGGTTTCATTCACCTGATCGAGCCCTGCCTTGGGCTCCGCGCTCAGCAGGGAGCCTGCTTGAGTTTTCCTCTCTGTCCCTCTCCCGCTGCCCCTCCCCCTATGTTCTCTCTCCTCTCAAATAAATAAATAAATCTTTATATATATATATATATATATATATATATATATATATATATATATATCTCCACCAAGGAGTCCAAAGGAGAGCAACAGCTACCACAAGAACCAGTGTATACTCAACTCATTCCATGATGTGACAGCTTCACAAAGATGTAGTAGCTCAATTGCAGGGGAGGAAAGCAGCCCACTCCCTTCTGAGACAGAAAACCTAAAGACAGTAAAGACGGTGGAATTGTGCACTCAGGAGAGATCCTCAACAAGTGGATAATAGGTAACCATCAGGAATATTTCACTTCTCAAATTTGGAGGAAATGAAAAATGAAGAAACCCAATACTGGCAATGATGTAAGAAAATAAGCATCCGCATTCTTCTGAGAAGAGAGTGATTTTGGAACAATCTGGAGGCAAATTTAGTAATATATATTAGGTGCCTTAAAATACGCATGCCTTTTAATTTAGCAATTTCACCTCCAGAGGGGGAGAATAGAGGTAATGAAGAATCTAGCTTATTAGAACTTCATTATAATATTAATTATGAGTAAAAACTTAGAAATAGCCTAAAGACCAAATAATAGGCAGCTGGTTTAATGGATTATGATACATAGGAATGATGTAGGCGATGAAAAGGGACATGGAAAGATGTTCATGATCTATGATTAAAAAAAAACAAAATTGAAAAATAGTATGCAGAGTGTTGACAATTGCCAAAAAAAAAAAAAGAGAGAAAAATCACCAGAGAAACTTGGTTTAAAAAAAGCTACATTTATTAGATTGATTTAAATAAAAAAGAACACCTCTTTGATAGAGTCTTAGTAATATTTCAGAAGAAGGGAGTCGGGAGAGGATATTTACAGGGTTTTAGAGCCAGAGTCCAGTGATAATAAGGTGGGTCTCACCAGGCAGGGAACTGGCTAGGATTGGGCACTTTTGGACATAAAATTTTGGATTGATGGGCACAGCAAGGTAAGGTCCTGAAGTAAATATTGTTGAGCAAGCTGCTGGTCCTAGTAAGTAAGCAAGTAGCAGGTTGGTTGCTATTTGTATCTAGTCCCAGTATTATGTGGCAGAACAACAGGAAAAAGTGCTTTGGCCATACCTGTTTATCATCGAGACAGAAAAGTTTATTGGTTTAGGTTCTCAATCACAGCTTTCTTTTTGTTAAAGAAATTATTCATGTTGACATTTCCATCTCACTAGAAAAAGTCTGGGAAGATAATTATTTACACATTAAAGGTGCTTATCTCCGCGTGGAAGGATTACAAGTGCTCTTTCATCTCTTCTCTTTCACCTCTTCGCATTTTCTAAATTTTCTCTAGTGAACATATATACAGGAAAAAAGATGTATTTGTTTGACTAATTATTTAGCCAGATAATTCCAGAACGATAGTATCCAGAGTCATCCTCACCTCAAAGCTTCCAGCCCACTTCTAAATAGAACACCCAATCTACACAGAATTTTGTGGCCAACTTGGGAACCTGGCTAAATCATGACCTAATCACAACCGTGCAGTCCAGTAAGCATCAGGCAGCTTTTCATCTTTTCAGACAGACAATGAAACGCTGTGTAGACTGTTTAGAAGGACCCATTGTTCAGAAGTCTATTAGAAGCGTTTTTAACTGACACAGATGCCTATTTCTCTCCTTGACTCACTATTATCACTCCATTTCCAGAATTCTGGTGCAGTGAGAGTCTGGGACTGCAGGCACATGAAGAGTGAGAGACGAGGTGAACCCAGAAGCCTAGGATACTGTCTCGTGATCTCTCCAGTCAACCACTAATAACTATTTTTCAGCACATAATATTTGCTGAGTGCTAGAGAAGGGGAGGTGTGGTACGCAAATTGGGTAATCTACACTCCATCCCTTAAATGAGCCTGGTTTTTAACTGGGGAAAGAAAGGGTCGTGAGGAGTGACTAACACACAAGCACAATTCCGGACACACAAAACGGCATGCAACCAAGACGGCTCCCCAGGTGGATGCTATGCTGGCCTCCGTTACAGTATTGGTAGCCCGGATCTCGTGTGGTCTAGACTCTGAGTCCTATATACGTTTAGAGATATGAAGGTTTGGGGCATCGAGATATCCTAGTTCAAGGGAGGTTAAACTCAAACTTTTTTTTAATGTCCATACTTCTTATTGACAACTTTTCCAAAATTTGGTCTGCTTTATTTTCTGCAGTTTGTAACTGCAGCTTAATGAACTATTTGCAGAGCCCCAACGTCGTGTTCATTGCACATAGATGTTGATTTCATTGAATAGAGACTAAAAAGATAGGAAAAAAGATGTGAATTGATTCCAAGATCCACTGAAGTTTACTTTAAAAGAAGAAAAAAAAAAAAAAACCCCACCAGTTCCTAATACCTATGTATTTTCAGCTTCTTTCCTTTAAGGAGGACCACAGTGAGACCTTCCAATAGATTGATGGTTCCAATTGGCTGAAATGTCATTTCCCTTTATAAAACCCTTTATTACTTATAAGTGCACTTTTTTTCTTTAAAGATTTTATTTAGAGAGATAGAAAGAGAGCACAAGTAAGCAGAGCAGCAGGCAGAGGGGGAGGGAGAAGCAGGCTCTCCACTAAGCAGGGAGCTGGATATGGGGCTCGATCCCAGGACCCTGGGATCATGACCTGAAGTGAAGGCAGCCGCTTAACCGACTGAGCCACCCAGGCACCCCATCCATAAGTACTCTTTATCAGGGAACTCATTATCCCAGACAAGGGGCCTTAGTAACCTTGTTGGAGAAATGGCCCAGAAAGGGGCTGTACTCAAGTTCATATAGTAACATAGTGACGGATTTAGGATTAGAAGTCCAATTTCCTGTTTTCAACCCTGAGCTTCCCCAAGTCTGATACCCCAGGCGTTTTCCCACGAGGTAAAATTTACTGGGGGTTCTGGGGATCTTAGCTATTAGACATAAAAATGAAAGAGACACAACTCACACTTGTAAGTATAATGAGACGCTCTTGTTTCGGAGTTCAATTCTTGGCAGGTTTTCTGGAACAGGACTCCGTTCTCAATGCCAGACGCCCGCACGGCCACCCGCGCGCCCCTTGGTTTCATTACAGCACAGCTGCAGAGAGATGAGGTCTCCTGTGTCCCCAGCCCTTGGTCAGCCTGCAGAGCCAACAAGGGAAACATGGAACACGTCTTGCCTGAGCAATCTGATGACCAAACCGGCTGTTAAAAACAACAACAGCGATAATGACAACAAACTTGGCTCATCCACCACTTGGATACCTTCGCCTGCTCGTAATAACAAACAAACAAACCCCCTCAAACAACCCAGGATGTATTACGGAACAGGAAACGCAGAGTTAGAGCCAGGATCACATTGGGCTGATTCAGCAGCTCGGTGGTCCCATCAGGTGGCGGACTCTCTCCATTCTTGGAGCCTTTTACAGTGCAGTGCCTGACGCTTGCCCCTCGTGGTCTCCAGTGGGGGGCAGTATTTCCAGGTCTCAAACCCACATTCGGAGGCAGGGATTTAAGGAGTCACTTCTTCGAAGAAGATCTTTCTCAGAAGTTCCTAAACAAATCTCTTCTCCCAATACTGGGTGGAACGTGGTCAATAACCCACTCTGAAACTAACTACAGCCAGGAGGACAGGCTCAGACCATTCATGCATCACCCCCTGGAACTGGGTCCTGTGAGGGTGGGGACTAAAGAGGGGTGGGGAGGAAGACCTCTGACCCAATCAGAGCTCTGCCAGAGGAACACAGGGGTGGTTGTGATGGAGGGAGACCATCGACAGCATCTGCCGCACCAGCTCTGAGCTATAGGCCACCTCTCCTGCCAGGACTTGTTCCCTGAATCAGGTGTTTCATCCCTTCTAAGGTGAGGAGAGGCTGTTCTGACAGGGCTGGAGAACCTAGGGATCTGTGAATGCTCATAGACGGCTTCGTCGGGTGTCAATGTTGGCTTCAGGTAAAACTTGCTGAAGACTCTGGAGACCTTAATCTAGAGTCAGTGATGTTCTAAGGGTGGGAATTTAGGCCAGGAACACTGATAGGGCCAGGCCACTGTGCGCAAAGAGAGAGCTTTGGGAGCAGGTAGACCAGTATTTTAAAGTACTCCTTAAATCATACCTAGAGAGTAGCTATTGACTTACCCCCAGGTATAATGATACAGATAGGAAAGTGAGAGCCATGAATGAACATCAGTGTGTATTTTTTTTTTTTTTACACCCGGCCCATGTTTTATAATAGGATTCAGCCCCGCTAAAATAAAAATGGATTTTTGGATGACTAGGTCACAAGCTTCTTGCTTTTCCTTTTGTTCTTCCTCTTTTTCTTTTTACTTGCTTTTGATTTTTAAGAATAATGAACATATTCTCTTTTATAATGGGAAAACAGAGTAACTTTTATTTGGGAAAAAAAAAGGTAGTTCACACTTGTCATTTAAAACAGCATGGGAAATCCCCACCTCAAATAAGCAGTCTGATGATTGCTTTTGTAATAGCTGAAAATAAACCAACTTTATTTGATTCAGTCAATACCAATCAAGACTGGAAAACAAATTTATTACTGGTTCAGATTCATGAAGAAAACATTCAGCAATATCTTCATTAAAACGCAATTTATATTTATTAAGGCTTGAAAGCAAGTCCTGCTATTTTGTCACCACAGTTAAAGGTCTTGAGAAAAACAAGTAACCATCATTTGGAGTGTCTTTATAAAATGTAGTGTTTGTTCTTTTATAAAAGCTAGGCATCTTTTGCTAAATTAGTTAACCCCTAGCTTTTAGGATGGGACAAACACGAGGTCAAGAAAGTAAGACAAAGTTCAAACATCAGCTGGATATTTTATATTTTAAGTATATGCATAATCATTATTGTGAAACTTCTAACTAGGCATAACATATCTTAGATAATTGGATCCTTTAAACTATGTTCTCCCCCCCAAAAAAAAACAGATTGCTTTTATAGAAACACGTATTAGCCGAAACCCTGTAATGAGGCAATCTTTCATTTTATTTTTTGGTTAGTGAGGGGAGCATTGGATCTAACTCCTCAAGTAACAAATAAAATGATGCACACTTTGGATCATACCTCATGGTGAAAGGAAAGCATCCTGCAACTAAGCTGGGAGAAGAATATTGGCAAAGGTAGAGGAATACGCATTCATGAAGGGGGCACATGTTACTTGATTTGAATGCTAAAAAGCACTGGATAGAAGACTCTGTGTCTTGTTTGCAGAAAGACTCGCCAATGGCTGAAGTCTGACTCTCAAATCAGCCATTAGGATCAGACAACCCCTAGCCAGGAGCTGTGCCACCTGGGGGGCCTGTTTTCTTTGTCCCACTCCCTTTGCTACACCGACGTGCTTCTAGAACAGCATCACTGTGGGTCTCTGGAAAGTAAACTGCTTCTTAGGTCATCGTGCCTGTGTTGCTAAACTCAGGGAAGGGTTTCTGAGGACAACAGGATTTACACTAATTATAAGTCCTCTGGGATCATTCAAGACTTCATCTCCCAAGAGGCCAGTTCAGGGCTTACCCCTACAGTAAAAAGAACTGCTTCCTCACCATGCTCCTTTTTAAACATGTCTTGGGACTAAGTTCCCAGGGAGTCCCTGGGAAGGTTCCTTTAGGGGTGGGAATGAATCAATGCCTCCTGCCCTTGCAAAGCTCTCAGGCTAATAAAACGTCCTACTGAGAAATTTCCTCTTCCTCAGTGGGCTCAAGGGGCTCCTGTTTCCTCCCTTCTGCTCAGATCGGCGGCCACGTGATTTCTTCAGAGATCCCAGGAGGCAGGCCGGTCTGGGGGTGGCCGAGGTGAGGATATGCGGATGTTTCTATGGAAAGGACCGTGCTGCCCTGACCTTCCTGAGCAATGAGCTAGGTCCCGGGGCTTTCTGGCACTCAGGACCTCACTCTACCCACAGGCAGCCCAGATGGGAGGACTGCTGAAGGTGACCGTCTATGGCGGGTGGCTTTTCTCACAGCGCATCACTAGGACAGAGGGCTGATGATTAGCTCGTTTTTCTTAGTTTCCTCTGCACAGGTCCCCAGGCTTGAGCCGGGTGAGCTTGGAAAGAGGTGAAACTCAAGGAGAACGACTGAGGAGTGAAATATTAGCTAAAACATGTTCCTTTTTCATCTGGCAGGTGAGTCAGATGGCAGGAAAATTAACCCAGACGGGGCATCTTCTTTTCCTCAGGTTCAAACCACATGGTTTCCCGGTCAGAAAGGCCCATGAACTTTCTTCCTAAGGTGTTCCATGATCATGCCATCTCTCACCCGTCAGAGGTTGCAGCCAACTCAGCCAGGAGTCACACCCGGCTGGCAGACCCGCATTCGAGAACCACTTGAAGAGACTGGAAAGTCAGTTTTGGCCAATTCTTGGTGGGTAGTGACATGACGTCAGCAGTTCAAGACTTAGATCATGAGAGAGAAGACCTGTGTGAAAGATTCCCAGGGAACATCGAGCCTCCTAAAGAACTTCTCTATCTTCACCCCCACCCCCCCAATCTGCTTTCTCACAGACCAAAATTGACCCGTGGATCAATCAAACCCAGGCATGGCATCTCCAACAAAACTGCCCCAAGCAAGCAAACCCCATGGCTGGTAGACCCCGTGGGCCTTTTGGCATCGACACTTCTCCCCCTGCCCTTTGCAGCCACCCTGGTTTGCGACTGCATGCCAACTTCCCTTCCTCAAAAGGCCTGGACAGCTGAGAACCAGACGCTGGTGTCAGCCAGATACACAAAAGCATGGTGACCTTCTCAGCACTGCAGCCAACAGAGACCGTCTGAAGTGGTGTTCCAGTCTGGTCTTCAGTGTCCCGTGTGACCGGAGCGTCAGGAAGCAGAGAGGGACTGAAGATGTATGCGCCAGTTGCCCAATCCACAGCCTGCCGGCCCTCCATTCACTCTCTCTGTCTCCCCGCAACGCAGTGGCTCTCTTTCTAGCAAGAACTACGATAGCATCTGTCCTTGGCCGTGGAGTTACCAACAAAGGGGGGGGGACACGGTGTTGCATATTCCTAATGCAGCCAAGCAGCTATTCTGATATTGGCGTGGGGCCAGGGGCAGTCCCCTAGATGGGCTCTCCAGCACTGACCCCAAACACACCGAAACCTGGACCAGGCCCAAAGGCTGAGCCCTGGTGTGTTTCCATCATTTCTGCTTGCAGATGCCCACGTGATCAGATGGGGTGGGCTGGGACCCTCCTAAGAGGCAGCAGGCTGGGGTCCCACGAGGCCAGCGAGATGTGGCAGGCGACCAAACGATGTTTCCCGACGCGGGAAAGGGGAATCTGCGAGGCCGGAGTTCCTTTGGGAGAAGCCGAGTCCTTCTGCTGCCGGGGGAGTTGGGGGGGGGGGGGGAGGCAAGGCGGCCGAGCTCAGGACCGGCTGAGGCGCTTGGCCACATCGGCGTAGGCCGACTCGATCTCTTTATCTGCCGCACAGGTGTTGGTGAACTCATCCCGCGCATAGGCGTTCTTCAGGTACCGCCACAGGCCCCTCATCTCGGCCGGGAAATCATAGTTGCGGTACTTCTTGGCCACAATCTACAACACAAACAGCAGGACAGAGAGGGCGTGAATGCACGAGACAAACCAGTGGGACAGAGTTAGTGCTGGACCTGGTGGGCGCGGGGGGGGGGGGGGGGGGGGGGAACCAGGGTGCGCATGCGTGCATCACTCAGGGCGAGCCCGCCGACAGCAAAAATGTTTGTCATGCAAGGTGGGGGTGCTGCCTTCTTTCCATCTTCTCTAATCTTATTTATTTTGTAAGTCAATATAATTTGCCCTTTGACCTAGGCATTCTGCCTCGGGGAATTCTCCTTAGGAAATGATCACAAAGATTTAGCTACCTATCTGTGATCACGTGAGGAAGAGTAAAAAATGCAATAGTGAAAAAATGGCAGAGGAAAATAATGTCCTGCAATAGGTACGTGGATAAATGCATTATCATAGGTAAATACAATGCCATCCTGGAGAGCCTTTACAAATGATGCTGCAGAAGTTCCAGGCATCTGGAAAACTCTTTGAGATCATTAAGTGGGTGCCTGGGTGGCTCAGTTGGTTAAGTGTCTGCCTTCAGCTCAGGTCATGATCCCAGGGTCCTGGGATTGAGCCCCGCATCGGGCTCCCCACTCAGTGAGGAGTCTGTTTCTCCCTCTGCCCCCTGCTCATGTTCTCTCTCTTGCTCTATCTCAAATAAATAGATAAAATCTTAAAAAAAAAAAGATTGCTAAGTTTCAAGTGCAGTGCAAAAAAATTAATAACGAATTTTTTAAAGTGCAGTATAATGCATTTGGAGAAATATGTGAGGTGACTAGAAGTATATGTACCAATATGTTACCAGTGGTTATGTCTGACTGATTGAATTATAAATTTTTCCCATCATCCACTTTTTTTTTTTACATAAACACTCTTATTTATAGGGGAGAACAAAAAGCATAAAAAGTAAGTCAGATGTTGGACTGTACATGCAGGTTCAATATATGATGTGGGAGTAAACAAATCATAATTTCTCTTCTCTTCTAGTCAGTAGCATAGTGGTTAAGAACATGGGCTCTGGATCCCCACCGACTGGGTCTGCAATTTTACTCCACTACCTAACAGCTGTGTGACCTTGGACTACTTAGCCTCCCTGAACCCCAATTTCTTTGTCTCTAAAATGAAGGTAATAATAGGACCTACCTTGGAGTAACAGATCAGTTAATACACATAAAATGCTTAGAGGGGTGGCTGGCTCATATTGAGTGCTCAAGAAACATTATCTCCTATTATAATTCACTGAGACCCATCTTCTGCCCATTTGCATGCAGAGAGGGTGACCTGTGTAGTTACACGGGGCCTCAAACTCAGGAGGGCTTGCTTTTGGTTCAATGCTCTGCTGTCACCATCTGGAAATTCTGAGTACTTTTTAACAGGGGCCGCTTTATTGTCACTGTACGCTGGGGTCTGCACATTAGCTGGTCTTGCTTCTAGTCCTCTGGGGCCGGCGTGGGAATAGCAAAGAGTAGCCTTTCTCCTAAGGCACTGACTTCTGACTCCTTTCCTTGCTTTTTTTTTAGAGAGGTCTTCAGACTGCTGGCCCTGGGATCCTCCCACTCAGAGAACCCCCGAGTTCAGCTACTCTGGGCTTTCATTTTCATTTTGGTGCCAGTGATGTTCAGGGTTCCCTGAAAAGCTCTGCTGAGTGAACACAATGATGACCTATTACATGAAAAGCTCAGCCTCATGGGTTTGACCACATTCCCAAGGAGCATGCATTTTCCTCCTCCGTTCTCCTGCATCAGTTTGGAAGTTGTGTTACAATAGTAAGCTCTGAATTGCAGTTACTGTTTTAGTATCCTCTCTCTCTTCCCTAGCTTGTGAGCAGTATAAGGAGAAGGACAGGAACCCCAGCTTCATTTTTATACTGCCTGATAATAACACTAGGATTTTTTTATTTTTTTAAGAATTTATTTATTTGAGAGAGAGAGAGAGAGAGAGTACAAGCTGGAGTGGGTAGCAAAGGGAGGGAAGAGCAGGCTTCCTGCTGAGCAGGGAGCCCCAACGATAATGCAGGGCTGGATCCCAGGACCCTGGGATCATGACCTGAGCCGAAGGCAGATGTTTAACCAACTGAGCCACCCAGGTGCCCCTCAATAACACTGTTTCTAAGAGTAGTGACACTAGCAAGCATTTATTTACTATGTGCTCTGCTCCAGGCTCTTTTAAGCACTGTGCAAGCCTCTTAAACCTCTAAATAACTCTATAAGGAAGAGTGCATTATATTCCCATTTTACAGATGAGGGAAGTAAGGCAAAGAGAAGTTAAATAAGTAAGGATTCAATAAACAGCTGTATTGCATCTTTACATCTCAGGTATCTTCAGGTATCCTAAATCAAAGTGCATCTAGAGTCAAATGGAAGAAACTCACTTAATTTTAGAGACTGCAGATCCTTAGCAATGAGCAGACTGAAGCCACAAGAGCATAAATAGGTTACACCACGTGACACAGGAAATTAATTCAACCAGTATCTTTTGAGTGATCACTAATGTTTATTATAGTCCTTGCTTTTCTTTTTTTATTCGGGTAGAGTTGACACACACTGTCACATTAGTTTCAGGTGCACAACACAGTGATTAGACAAGTCCATATGCTCTGCTGTGTTCACCAGCAGGGAAGTCCCCATCCGCCACCATCGGACGCTATTACAGTTATCATTGACTCTATTCCCTCTGCTGGGCCCCGGTATTCCCATGACAGTCCTTCCCTTCTCTCCACGCGGCCACCCAGCTGTCTGCAAACGAGAAAGGTAGGGCTGTACTCAGAATCCCTTGTGTGCCAGTTATCCTGCTATTGCTGCTTATCTCCAAACCACCCTTGTGTTTGTTTCTTTGGGACGCTGGGACGCATGGGTGGGGACTCTGCAAATCACATCTGTTCCGCCAGGGACTCCCTGTTAGGCTCTTCCAAGAGGGGGCGCTAGAGAGGGTCAGCTAGGCTGGAGGAGGAAGAAGGGCTGCCCCTTTCTGCCCTGGTCATCCCGTGCCCGTCAGACTCTCCTTTGCTCCAGCAGCAGCAGCTGAGTCCAATTTTCTTGTTTTGCCACCACTAGTGGAACTAGTGTCCTCACCCTGGCTGAGAGAGGCCAGCACACAACAGTGACGCCCTGCAGGGGTTGGGGGCCAGTCCCCTGGGCTGTCCCCTGAACTCAGCCCCCAGCGGCAGCTCAGCATGCCCCACCTCAGAGGTCCAAGGTTGGGCTCTGCAGGGGCCCCTCATCTAAGTTGCCAAGTTTTAGATCCTTCTGACCTCTTCCGTTTGCCTCCCCTGCCCTAGGGGGTTGTAGCCGCCTTATTAAGGTAGAACCTCGTGGTACACTTTGCCTTCCTAGTACTTTAGTACTTACTGCTTCTTTCTATTAAATTCTCTTGGTTAAGAGAACTGGTTTGGGGTGGTCACCAAGGAAGCCACATCCCCACAATGCTCTGTCCAGCTTAGGTGCAACTAAGAAGCAAAGGGGATGGCCTCTGAGTCCCCTGGCAGAGCACTCGCCACAAGCAAATGCTGGGGCCAACACCCACTGCCAGTTCTCCTTGACCTCCCCCTGTTCACTGCAGGGTGAGGGTCCCCTGGGTTTGCCCAGGAGCCTTTGAGAAGAAGCTGTCCTGGCTAAGGAGCAAGACCAGGCAGGAGGGACGGGTCACAAACTGACAGACGGAGTGGCCTCAAGTCTCTCCATGCTGGGATTTGTTTTCATTTTTAAAGGATGCGCTATGAGATTTAAGACAGCAGAAGGGAGACTTATGGATATATGCTTGTGCTTATGTCTCCTCTGCCGTTTGCTTCAGGGGCTGAAGCAGGTCACCGTGCTAGGCAGGGGTCCCAGGGGCCACTCCAGAAGGCCCGCCATGCCCCTCCCTGCCCGGATCTGCACGCCCTGAGCCTTGGCCACATCGCTGGTTCTTTCCTCACATATTGGCTTGCCTTGAGGAGATGAAGGGAGGACTAGAAGGGAGCCGGACAGCGAGAGTTCAAACCAGGCTTTCAGGGAGAATGAAGATGAACCTGAACGAGAGCCAGGTAAGAGAGGGAGAGCGCGCGAGAGAGCGCGGGGAGGATGTGCACACGGAGCTCTGACGTTCACAGGAACTTCCATGCTCATGGTCTGAATTTGCTCTTTCATATGAAAAAAGTTGGCTCCCACAGCCCAGATTAGGTTTTGGCATCAGGAGCCAAACTGGAGGCCTGACTTGGCTCCCCCTTCACTCTTTCTGCAGGACAGGGCTTTGCCAGGTCTCTGGGATCTGATAAGCTGGATCAGCAGAAATCCAAGGAGACAGAAGGCGAGGCCCAGCCTTTGTCCCGTCGCAGGCCGTCCTCCCTCGGATCCCCAGCTTCTCCAAGTGAACAGCTCACTGAACTCCATCCAAGGACACGGGCGGAGCATCGTCCTTTAGGGCTGGGAGGAGCAGGAGGAGTTGGACAATGAAGCACAGGGCCTTGGGGATCCATTTGTTTACCTTATTCGACAGGAAATTCTTGCGCAGGTAGTCAATACATGTTTGAGTAAGACGGAAGGAAGGAGCAAAGGAGGAGAGAAGAAAGAGGCGAGAAGGAATACACACTTCATAATCTCTTCACTTAGGCAGGAGAAAAATGAATTTCCAGAAAGAGTCAATGACTTGCCCTGGCTCGTGCTGTTAGTGGGTGGCACATACAAGACTAGCATGTGATCTCATGACTTTCTGAATGGGGGGGGGTCTTTCCATTACGTCACGCTGACACACTGGGACGGAAGTAGAATCATACCATCCCTAATGATGCCACTTGTTCCTCAGGAAAAGAGAATAAAAGATGTTTCCGTGGGTGTGGTGGGGCATGCGGTCATTAAGAACTTCAAAGACATGGAGCTTGGCTGGACTTACAAGTAACCATTGGCTTGGCCCCGAACCCAAAGCGTCTTCATATTAATAGATTGCATTTGCCCAGCCCATCAGGAATGGCACATGTGATTCCGGCCCAGTCCCCAGCTCGGACCAAGTCCCGTGGGAACACCGGTGCTTGCACAGCTCGGATTTCAATTCAAGCTGGTTGTGCTCTGACTGGAGGGAAGCCCACATCTCTAGCTCAGGACTTTAGCTGGAAGACGACAGGCAGCTATCCAGCAGATAAATGATTGAATCTGATTCTTCTTAGTGAAGGGCAGAAGGAAAATGGTATGATAAAGACACAAGCGAGGTGATCAAATGGTCAATCAATGAGTATTTATGAAAGGGCCACCATGTGCCCACCATCGTGCTTGGAGAAGCCACTATCCCCATAGAACCTACTGTCTGACTGAGACATATGATATAAATGTGTATAAAAGTAGAGAACAGTCTAGCGGTATGGTCCCACTGTGTGTTTTGCTCAGCTGGTGAAGGCCGGGAAAGGATGTAAGAAGAAGCGTTAGTTTAGAGAACAAACATCAGGGCACACAACTATCATCGTCTTCAAAGAAGGTGGAACGGAGCAGCCCTGATCCATGCTGCTCTGGAGAACAAAGGGGAGCAGGGAGGCTGTTTGTGCTCAACATAGGAAGGATGTTCTTAGGGGTGTCTGTGTGGCGCAGTCGGTTAAGCGTCCAACTCTTGATTTCGGCTCAGGTCATGACCTCCACGTTGTAAGATAAGATGGAGCCCCACATCAGGCTGTGCGCTGGGCGTGGAGCCTGCTGGAGATTCTCTCTCTCCCTCTCCCTCTGCCCCCCTCTTTTTTTTTTAAAAAAAAAAAAAGGAAGGATGTTTTAATGATCAGAGTCATCCAAAATGATAGGGCTGACTCGTTAGGCAGGGAGCTCTTCATCGTCAGAAGTGTGCAGCGACAGCTGCATGGAAGCCTGTCACAGACACGTGGAAAGTGGTCCAGTGCGGGGTGGGGGACAGTTTGGGATGACCTTAGAATTCCCTTCTTTCCAACTCTCGGATCCTAGAATTCTTATAGGACAGGATTACACTGCATTTGATCAGTGTAGGACAAACGTGGCAAGAAAATGATGTCACTTCTTGCAGCCTCCAGCCCTTCAGCTGATAGATGAGGCAGAGGATACACACCTGCCCTAGGGAGTTACTGGAGCGAATGAGAGGCTTGCATAGAAAGCAACTTCACAGAGATGTAGGGGTGTGGCCAGTGAAAACCTGAGAGGCAGAGGCAAGGAAGAAGCTCTCTCTCTCTTTATACATATATGTATAAATGTATGCATATACATATATATATATGTATAACCACACATATTATAACAATAGCAGCTACTATGTACTGAGCCTTTATAATATGCCAGTCACTGTTGCTCCATATTATTCTCCTAGCCAAGAAGTAAAAATAAGAATAAGAAGTAAGTAATATACGCCTGTTTTACTGAAGCTCGGAGAGTCTCTACAGCCAGCAAGCAGTGGAGGCTGACTTTGGGTTTGTATTCCTGTGACTTCAGAGCCCAGGCTCTGGACCAGCAGGTGGCACTGTCCTTGACTCATCCACGCAGGTGACGCGGGCCTATGATGGAGTTGGATAAGGCAAGCGACCTGCAGGTAGAGCTGTCTTACCTTGACCACATGGAGTTTGGGCAACAGATTGCAGTCGGCCAGGGTCAGTTCGTCCCCATCTAAGAATTTGCGCTGGGACCTCCTGTCTTCATCCCCGCAAGTGTTGGCATCGATCTCCTCTGGGAGAGGGTTGTTCAGGTAGTCATCCAGTTTCTTCAGAGCCCTGGTCAGGCCTCTCTCAAGGGCTGGCATGAAACAGCAGAAGAATCTTCAGTCAACCTTCCTGCCACTGGAAACAACCAGGGGTCTTCAGAGTAAAGGAGCCTATCCTGAATTCTGTGCCCCACACTACAGAATACCTGCAAGCCATTAATACAACGCAGCAGAAGAGTGTTAAGTGGTCTGAAAAAGCAAACCTTAACAAAACAATAAACACTAGTTAATCCTTAAAAGAAGAAAAACATAAATATACAAATGCAACCATTAGGATATATATCGAAGTTTTTAAAGTGCTCATCTCCAGTAGATACAATAATAATAGTCAACTTTCATTTTCTATTTTGCTTCTCTATATTTTTCCAATATTCCACAATTAACCCACATAATAATTCTGTAGAAAGAAAGGGCTATTCACTAAGTAAATGACTGTTTAGAAAGTCTAGGACAGAGATACGCATCAGACTTTGTGGAAGCATTAACTAAGGAAGCACCAACTGAGCCAACCTGAGAAGGGGGAGTGGGGGAGACAAGGCTCCCAGGAAGACACAACGTAGGAAAGTAAGCCACCCTGCTTGGTGTTGCCCCTACAGGACCAATGGATACCAGAAGGGCAATACTTCAGTTTAATCTAGAGAAGGTTGTTCTAAAAATCAGAGATGTCCACAATGGAAGGGCCAGTGCGCCAGGCAGAGGGCTCCACCAGACACAGCTGCATGGAAACCTGTCAAGGACACACCTCAGAGAATGAACATCCAAAGGACACAGTGTGGCAGAAGACTTTTACAGTCTTGCCCCAATAATTTCCTATCCAGTAATTCATTTAGACACAAGAGTAGAACAGAATATTCAAACGAGCAACAGCTAGAAGCCACTATCACTCAGAACCAATCCATCGAGAATCTCACAGTCAATTCCAGGCACAGAACACTGGCCACCCGAGCTCCGAGGACAGGGGTGGAGGAGGCGGCTGACTGGGCCCCCAGCCACTGCACCTGTGTCATCACCCCATCTCCAAGGCTGTTTTTTCCCAGACTCCAGTGTAGAGTGTGATGCTGAGGTAATAGGAATCAGTCCTGATGTTAATTCTGGCAGATGAAAGAGGGATGCTGCCCCGGGGGGCAGAGCCCAGAGGATGGGGACTCTTACTTACTTTTTCCCAAATGTGCCTTCTGTTAGCCACTCCTCCATAACCCAAGTTTGTCTTTTCATAGAAGGCCTTTGTTTGAGACAATAAAACACCACCAGCCCAAGATAAATCAATTGAACACTTACTGGAATGTTTGAAAACAGGCTAGAAGCTGGACGTAGTTTCTCAATACTTCCTTCTCCCTGGTGTGGCATTTGAACTTGTACTTCATCATCTGCTTTGTGTTTCCAGTTTGGGAGAACAGAGTGAGCAGGGCTGGGAAAAAATGCTTGTATTCCCCTTAGTAATTGTCTAGACTAGGATGGGATTGCAAGCCTATTCAAGGACAATAGCAGAGGGTGGGGACCGAACAATAGTCATTATGCGCCCCACCCCCACCCCCGCCGAAGCACTTGTGATCTATATTGGGTTTGTTTGCTTCCTTAAAGCCCTCCACCCCTTTCAGTGATGGCGATTATGACAAAATCTTGATTCTAATGGAGAAAGGAAAAATCAAATAGAGTGCCTGCTGAAATCGGCCCAGTGGGTATCAATCCAAGCGACAGAGACGGATGAAAGGAAATGAAATGTTGCAGACTGTAATTCCAAAATGCCCACTGGAGACCCGAGCAGGCCATTACATGAGTCTGTGCCCAAGTCCCCCAGTGTGGGAACGATCATGGCCTTTGGTAAAAGAGGCCTAGAAGAGCAACTGGAGCTCCTTGGGAGGACAATTCTGGATACATCTCAACTATGTCTCCATGAGCTCTTGAGGTGGAAGGATTAAGTGTGGCAGTGGGCATGGCTGTCACCTTATGCCGTAGCTGCAACATCTAGGTGACACCCCGAGGGGGCGTGTGCTGAGGATGTCCTCCGCCGGTCAATGTCATCACTCGAGTCTGTGTATTTTTGATCAGGAACGTGAAGGGCGCAGTTGGTGGTAATCATGGTAGAAGGAAGAGGAGGCGAGGCAGCAGGGGAGGGGCTGTGTGGCCTGGAGCTAAGCCGGTGTTTAAATTTCAACCCTGCCCAGGATGGATTTATTATGACGCTGCTCAAGTTTGAGCTTCAGTTCCCTTCATCCCATGGGCCCCTTCCAAAGCCTTGAACTTGATTTTTTTTTAAAAATTCCTTATTTGTATTTATTCTATTGGCTTCAGACCCCACAAATCTTGGGAACGTCTCTGATCCTGGAACTCACGACCAAGTGTGACCTTGGGCAAGCTCCTCAACGTCGCTGAGTTTCAGTTTTCTTATCTCAACGGTGAGATGAAGATCCCCAAACTTCCTAAGGCCTGACTCGGATTATGCAGGGAAAAGTGCCTCATACAGTGCCTGCCCCGTGCTAGGACATCTCTATGATTTGCTCTTGCTCGTGCAGGACCAAATGTGACAGCTATCTGCTCTCCGTCCCTGACCCCATACTCTCCATCAGTTATTTCCTCAAAACTCCAAGGTGCGGCAGAGAATGAGAGATTCTCAAAAGCTCCAGTTCCGAGGCCCAGGCCCCAGAGAGGACAATCAACAGCCCAGAGTTTTGCATCCCATCCTGATGGAATCATGTACAGCCACAGCCCTGTCCCGGACGCTCCATCGGGGATCCTGCTTGGTGATGCGCTTTGTGAGAGACATGGCCGGGGTGAAACAGACACAACATGTCTGTGCTAACACACAGCCATTCTTCTCGACTAATGGATACCAGCACTGATACAGCCTCTGCCAGTTCTTTTCCCTCCTACCTACCAACTTATTCCTCTGACCCTGGCTCGATCTGGCATCCATAGAATTCAATTATCTCTTTTGGCCCACAGCACCCGGGTCAGAAAACCGCTGGTGTTGAACTTTCTGCTCAGATAAGAGTGAGGGGGATTATGAAAGAAACCAGAGTGACAAGGAGATGTTAATCCCGTCAGTGTTCGCATTTGAAACCCTCCTCTGAGCAGCAGGATGGGGTAACCCTCAGACCACAGCAAGCCTGAGGCCAGGGGACCCTGAGACCCGGGAGCAGTAGAGGCCCAGCCTTGACTGCTCCCCCCGTCCTTTAACTGCTGTCTGCCCCTCTCCACCCGCCCTTCCCGTAAAGATTTATTCGGTACCACCCGCAAATGCACTGGGTAAAATATGTGACGAGGAAACAAGGGGAATAGTTCATAAATATTCTCAGCCATATGCAAACAATCTCAAATTTATTTTTCTCCTTTTTAAGGAGGAAAAAAAAATCCACCCATTCCATGATCACTTCCAGATTCATTGAGGTTGATATTACATAAGAACCAATATTGTTTTCTCGTCGTAGAGAAATAATGACTTGGAAACGGCAATTTGAGCTAAGAAAATAATATACTCTTACCAGGGCATGGAGGCTGAATGAGGACTCAGGAGCCAAGACTCTAGCTCAGTCTCCAACCAGCTCTTGCAAGCACGGCTCAACCCTGCTTTGCTGGCATGCTTTGTGCAACAGGGGTATCAGCAAACACCACACAGACTCTTTGGGGCTCAGAACTCACGTAGAGCAGAACGGATGTCAAAGGTGTTCTTTGAAAGGACAGGAGCAGCTCTGTGGGTCCAAGGTCCTGTAGCCTCAGCTCCTCACGTGTGTTTTCTCTCTGGCACGTGAAACTTGCAGAGAGGTAAGAACAGGGGGCCACCTCTGACCACCAGCTGCAGCCTGGATGGGCATCTGTTCAATTCTCCCATGGAGAAGACAATCATGGCTATTGGGAGCTGGCCCCGGGCCAAGGACCCTCCATCCCGCTGTGCCTCTCACATGGCTCTGATCCAGCACCAGCAAGAATTACAGTAACTGAATGTCTGAAGTAGACTGGGGATGTTTACACAACCTATCATTTAAACACACAGTGAAGCTATTGAGATGGGAATTATTATTCATACCCATTTAAGAGATAAAAAATTGAGTCTTAGACTTTCCCAAGGCACACACGCATGTGCAAGCCAACCGTTCCCGGGATGCACACTGAAATTGTACCTTGTTTGGTTTTTAACTGCTGTTGTCTTCCTTACGAGCACCAACCCCTGGGTAATGGGAGAACGACAACTTTATTTTAGTCTGTTCTGGATTACAGCCTAGTCTGATGTAATGAACAGTCCCTCTAGAGAATTCTCAGTCTCTTTTGCATAAAAATGCTCAGTTTCTCAGAAAGTCTCCATCTCCTCTGCTCTTCTTGCTGAGTAAATGGGGGGGGGGGTTGCTGTGACCTTGTGGCCTTGGGGAGATAGGGGCCCTGGGATCAAGCGGGTAGAAGGCTTTGGGAAGCTTCCACAGGTCCTGTGTCTCTTCTCAGTTACCTCTTCTCAGCGAAACCTCCACTTCCTTCCAGATGTTGACCCTAGGGTGGTGGTCAGAGGTAGGCTGTCCAGCTCCCTCCAAAGCCCTGGAAGGTTACCTAAGCAAAATGCCACATGGCGCTTCCTAGATGCATCTCTGGTTCCCTGACCCTTCTGTTTGTGTCTTCTCCTTCATCCCCAAATCCCCTGGGCCAGAAAGGGTATGCTTTCCTTTATATTTTCCTATGTCATATAATCCACCAACCACAGAACAGCAGGTCTCCCTGGCCCACTGCACGGACCTAAGGGCCATTTCTTCTCTATGAGCTGAGTCCTCTAGGCATGGTTCTTAATGTGCTAAAACTGAGAGATAAAGGAATTTAGAACATTTTAAGACAATAGCTTGGCTTGTAAGGCTACTGTCTTGTTGAAAATGCTATTTTGAATCAGCAGCTAAATATTGAATGCTTTTTTTTCTTTCTTAGAATTCCTTCTACAGAATTCTTATCTGTCATGGGGCTGATGGATGCTCAGGACAGGTTGGAATCATGTGTTCAAGAAAGACAAAGAGAAAAGTATTTTCAAATGTTAGCCCTGTTCAAGTAAGGAACAAAA